TGGGCAGCGAAAACTTTGCTGATATGTGACTCGGTCGAAATGTCTTTTTTTTGCCCCTCCCCCTGTATATTCATCCATGAAAAAAGGAAGACTGGTAAAGCCCTGACGTAAAATAACAGACTGCCCACTATGAAAGCATGTAACACTCCCCATTTCTTGTGTAACGCGATATTTCGCTATACTACAGTCTGAGCCGAGTGTTCCTTGTATTAGTCACTTCAAAAACAGTTGTTCGATCAAATATTGAAATCGGCAAGGAGCCTACGGGGAACCCAATAAACTGGTAATGAAGTAGCTGAGTAGCGGGATTATGAAGGGAAATGATCAGAAAGGGATGAATTTACCTTCTTAGCGGGAGAGAAATGGTCAGAAAAAACAGATTCGCTCTCTCCTAGTCTGCGGTGAATAGCAAAACAGCTTTCTTCTTTCTTCGCTTTTACGTGGAGTTTCTTCCTCATAAGCATCGCCGATTTTTGGTGTCCTTCGCCTTCAGAGCCTGCCTTCGGAGAATCATGTATAGTTTCACCATCTTGTCCCTTATTTCCGATTTTTTTTCTTCTTGCATTCCGCTGGGTCTAATTCAACAACATTTTATCCATATATAAACATAATTACACATGATATAGAACAAAAAAGTGCTTATATAAAGAACGTTTAAAACACACGCAACATACGATTATGATGATGCGACCCAAATATGAAATTGTGCAGCAAGCTATACAAAAGCGAGTGAAATGTGAGATCGTGAATAAGATCGGATATGAAAACGAGTCAGAAAGTCAACAGAAAAGAAATCGCAGTTTTCCCATGCAGCAGTAAAATGATGGCTTGACCACGAGACCAGAGTATCGTGAGAGGGAAGGAGAAGCTCTGAAAGTGTACTCCAACGCATAAATTCTAGATGGGAAGGTGCCTGACGTCCTTTGGCTTTTCAGTTGATGTTGTGACAAGACAATCGTAAATCCCTGCCAGTAAACGTCACGCCTGCAAATAACGATGCCCTCCAAGACGAAGTTAACGGACAAGACAAGCAGTCTAGTTCTACGGTTCAATGTACAGTTGATAAGCCTAAAAGTTTAGAAAAACGCCACGCCCTCACCCGCCTGAGGGGTTAGAATTGTCTCGCCCATCCCCACGATCTGAATATTGCGTTGGAAAGGCAAGTTAATCATTAAAAAAACTAGCGACAAGTAGCAAGCGATCCTTCGTGCTGCTCCTATTATCTTGAAAAAAGATAATACAGCCGGAGCCTCCAACAAATGCCGCCGTTCATTAACATATTCAGAAAGTTTTCGACAGCTAAAAATCTTTTCTGGGGATTCTCGTTCACCCGACCCGCATTCGTGATCGAAGTGGCTCTAAATGCGATTTCACCCTCACAACGGCTTGAACGCGCTAGCTAACGAACTGTTCAGCGTCTTTGCACTCCCTTACATGTGTGGTACCGTTTTCTTGGCCCGAAAGGAAGGAAGCCTTGGTTAGAGCGTTCATACTCTGCGGCAGCGTCCACCATCAACCACTAGTGCTCACTAGCGACCATCAGCATTTCGAGCATGAGCGACCAGGAACGTTTAGATATCCATCTTTCGTCTACCAGCGTCCACCAGCGACCATCAGCGTCTCGAGGGACAAGGAAGTTATGGTTTAACGTCTACCATCGCCCAGCGTTCACCAGCATTCTGCCGTCAACCATCAGCATCTTGAAGGACTAGAAATGTATGGATACTGATCTGGCGTCTACAAGCGTCCACGAGTGACCACCAGCGACCAGGAGTGCGGTAATGTGTAGTAATACGATGCGGTTGCACACGCCACGATCTCACGACATAATCTAGCTGTCTCCCTCCTCCTACTTCCCCATATTCTACCAGCAGTCTGCTACCCTTCTACTTCCCCATACTCTCTACTCCTGGTCGCTGGTGAACGCTAATGGACGCTAGTTCGATATACATACTCCTCGTCCCTCGCGAAGGTGATGGTGGCTGATGGATGCTGGTGGACGCTGGTAAAGACTGCCGTTCGCTAGATAGCTATCTTTAATTCCCTATTCGCTGACGCTGACGGACGCTCGAAACGCTGATGGTTGTTGGTGGACGCTGCCGCAAAGTATGAACGCAGCCTTGGCCTGGGTTGGACCTGATTCAGTAGGACTTGATCTCCGCACCCCTTCCGCTCCGCCCTGATTAGTGGGACTGCTGCATAGTAACCGCCGATGTCCTTTCTGCACTAGGTTGTTATCCCATGAAACAACATCTTGTCGGAAAGATGTGAGCAGTTTAGAAAACCTCGCTGAAAGCCGTGGAGGATAGAAGTGTAAGAAAGGATAACATGAGTATAAATAACAGATATAGTTGACTAGATAATACTCTCAATGATTATGATGATGTATGATAACAGAAAAGAGAAAGCATTTGATCACCAAGTAGCACCTTTATTGGTAAGGCACTGTCGAGTCGTATTCCATTCGTAACTGCCGCATTTTTTCTTGAATGCTACTGTCTGCTTCATCCTCCACACTATCAGCATCGTCCAGCTTGATCGCTTGATAAGCTTTTTCTAGAAAAACCCACATCTGTGACTTCGCAAACGTGAAGGTAAACTACAGTGAAGTTTTGGGATCAAAAATGATACTTGATTCACGGGCTAAATGTGTAGGGAATGCAAAAGGAAAAGCTGAGGGGAAAACATCCAAAAAAAGTAATGGTCCAGGGTGTCTACAATAGCTACAGTCTGTCTTATCGCCGCGGGTGATGGAGCGTGCCAGTGAGGCTGGGTTTGAGGCGCTGTCAGCCCATTCTCCACTAGCTGTTAAAGCAAATAAGCGAAAGCTCTTGGTGGAAAATGACTAATACGAACGATATGATACCGTCTTGTCGCTAGCCGAAAGAAAAAAAATGGGCTGCCGTTCGCTAAACTCATCCCCCTTGTATTAGGTTGAGTCGATATGGCTCGGACAAATGGTAGTGATGATTTCTAGAGATCATAACTCAGCAACGAGTGAACGAAAATGGACGCGCGAGGTACCGTTGGAAAGAATATAAAAAGCTCTTCAAAATGCAATCAAACAAACACTCCAAACTAGTTTCATTCCGCCACCATGCCGCACGATTTCAAGCCGTCCAGAGACCACCTCCGCAACGTCATACTCTTTCTAACGCTATCTGGCCAAGAACCCGCGGATATCGACAGACGCCTAAAGGAAGTCTACAAGGAGCATGCCCCCGCTAGAAGTACAGTCTACTTGTGGCATTCGAAGTTTGCGTCGGGCAACTATTCCATCGAAGACGAAGACCATGCGAGACGCCCGAGGGAGCTGGATTTGGACTCGCTGCGGAAACAGGTGGAAGCCGATCCGTATCAAACCACTCGAGATATGGCGACCGCTCTTGGGGTGAGTCAGACTACTGTCGTTCGCGGCTTGAAGTCAATCGGCAAGGTGCTGAAACTCGGTCGATGGGT